TAAAGGTTGAGCATTTGCCAGTTGAACTGCGGTTTATCATGCCAGGCCGATCCTCTTAAAACGTGGGAGCGAGGGTGCCAAACAGGCCCATTGGGGGAGATTTATATTTATAACACTACATAAGTGCGGCTTAATCCCGATTTTATTGCTCAACGAATGAGCGCCCCTTGACTACTTTAGTTATTATTTTTAAAGGGCCGCCAAGTTAAGTAGCAGATTATATGCTTTGTGTCCGATCAGTGATAAATTCATTAGGGAAAATTGCCAAAATCTACGATTTCAACAAAAAACCAAGCAGTTTGGCAACAAGGATTCCCCACCTGTATGTCACCTGTCAGCAGAACCAGTTTGAGTCAAGGTCACTTTTAAGAGACACTGTTGCCTTTCATAAAGTTTTTCAAGCAAATCCTAGGTAAAATGTCGATAAATCCTGGATTGCACGAAAAGTCTTCGTATAACTACCAAAGATTAGACATGTGCTGTCAAATGCGCAGCTTTTAAATACTTAGAATTTGGGTGCATTTGGGTCAGTCCCATTTCCGTCCAAGGCCCCAATTTGTCCATTGAGGGTCACCCTTAAAGACCGCTTAGATATCATTTGGGCCCATTATTCGTCGCCCATAATCATTATGGCTTGAATTAAATGGATATTTCAGATGAACGGGGACATTTGGCGCCACCTGGTGCCCAGCGAAAAATTGCCGATATTTTCGAATTGCGGTCACGATCGCAGATATAATAACAATACGGCCGCGCGGGGGCTGAAGATGAAAAGTCGGCTTTAAGTTTGTTTGCGGGAAAAGTGCGAATTCCGGCACAAAGCGGCGCCGGAATTGGTTTCAGATTGTCGGCACTGTTTCAGTATGTAAATGGCGCAAGAAGCCCGGCCAGGTCCCAGTCCATGAATAATAAGTGCGGAGGCTCACATTGGGCGCAATCATTCCGTACCGCTTTCCACTCGAATATCTGTGGGTTTTCCTTTCAAGGATTTCGCATGGCAACATTGTTCGAATGACAAGTGACATGTTGTGCGACGTTGCCACCTAGACTAGTACCTACCTACTCCAATAATGGATAATATTTTAAACTTTAATTGAGTCAAGATTCTTTTATCCGTTTGCGACACCCGCGTCTCTATATCTGGGCTGTGTATTGAGAAATATGCCCCAAACATAAGCAGTGCATCGCAGGCGAAATCTTATGACACTTCCCAGATTGATAAAAAATAATCCACTGCTCCGAATGGAAGCAAATTCAAATGCATTCTTAAGTGAAGATTCTACTATCGGCCGTTGACGACTGCATCCCGATATCTGTCCTCAAACCGAAGAAAACCGCCAAGAAATCCCACAATGCAAAACATTTCCAAAAGGAAAACCCCGTGCGGCAATATTGCCACAATAACAAACACTAATTTGCACCGGCGTTGCCACCTAGACCAGTTTTTCCGCTTCCATTCGCACAGCCCGATTTGATTGTGAAAATGAAGCGTAAAAAGCCAGTTAACCATTACGGTACTTTTAATTATGGGTACCATTCTGCGTGAATTTGCCGCAACAATACACTGGCAAGATCAATGCGATGTGAAACAACAAAAAAAAACTGAGAACAAAAAGCGGGCGGCGTCCGGTAAATCACATTCAAACGCCGCAAACACCCCAACTCTCCCCGCCGCATTATTTACTTATTTATTCGATTCTTTAGGCACAAATTGTTGATTCGACGCGCGATATTACAGGAAAACCGCATCGCGATGCGTTTCAGCTGGATTTAGTGATGGTTTCGTATACAACAAACAATTTGATGACTAAAGCAAACAAATCATTCATCAAATTGAATAATGGCGATTGAATTAAGCCGGTTAAGTGCACAGGCCCGGACCCACGAATAGTCTTATTATGTAATAAGACGCTACTTCTATGTAATAAACGCTCTTCGTGTTAATGACTTGTAACCTAGCTAATTATTTACTTACCGTTCAAAGGATAATTTAGGACTATTTTGGTCAGATTTTCTGCAAATCACGCGCTGACCTTTCATAGTATCTATTTTCGATCACTACCTCCTCACTAATTCACTAAATAATGCTACAAACCAAGCAAAACCTTCGCACTTAGAGAAGTAGAAAAGTGACAGCAGTGCCAATTGATTTCATGAATGAACGATATGACACGAAGCCCGCTGTTGCCATTGTGACGGAACGATTATAAAATATTCGGAAAAATGTAGCGTATCGCGCGCTGCGCGCTTGCAGATTGCGACAGGACTTAAGCATTTACCATTTACAGTCCACACTGCAATTTTCTGCGTTACAGACATTTAAAAATCATTTAGTGGATTTTCCATCGTTTGATTTAAGCTAATGCCTACTTTGGTTGTTTCCGTCATATAAACCCTTCACATCATAACCGGCAATGTTGCAATTATTTCCGCATAAAGCCTGTGTCCCATGTATCCGTTTATACGATGTTACGATGATACGAAAGTGTTTCTATTGGTTGGAGATCTGTCAGTTCGTACGACGGCGGACGAATTGGCAGATCTCCAACCAATAGAAACAGTTTCGTATCATCGTACCATCGTATAAACGAATGCATGGGACGGAGGCTTTACCCCCCGGTGGTTTTGTGTGACGTATGCTAAATCCTCGTAGTCCGGATCTGCAAAATCGAGCTGCGACCGTGAAGCTGACCGAAACCGCAACCGATCGTGAACGTTTTCAATTTCAAAACTCATCTCGACACCATCAGAAGACCAGAAGCCTGATGCGGGAGAAAAAACGACCGTCGATATTATGTTTGTTTGGCGGTTGAGGATGCATGGCCGACGTGACGTTATTAGGCGAAAAGCCCATTAGCCTCAGCGACCAGTTCTGATCCAATTTTATACCCGGCGATTCCAAAAAGTCTTCTAAATGACGAAAACTGATGTTGCGAAGTGAGGTTATGAACACCAAACACATTGCTGCCCCGTTTTGCATGTGGTTTTTTTAGAGAAAAACCAGCCCTTAATCCGTGTAGATAAGCGAATGTTGTTTGAACCATCCGGTGCCGATGGCACGTTAGATGGACATTTAAATCGGGCGAAAAACAACGGATTAGATCGGCTATCGTCGATCGGAGAGGGGCGATATCAAAGAGGCGAATTTAAATTGCGAATCCCCAGATGGCATCCAGATAGGCCCCCGTTATTGGATACGTGGGGGCATCCAAATCGGGAAAAGACCAGCCCCGGTATGTTCGCGATCTGTTTGCCGATAAGATGATTGAGGCCTCGTTTTACATTGTTATTCATGGATTGGGACGTGGCGGCCCTTCGGCTTTCTCGCAAAATAGAGTCGCATAGATCGGGTTACGATTGAGGCGGCGCCCCCTCTAGCGTCTGCACCAGGCAAGCTCGCACCTGATATGGCCCCATTAAAGTGAGCAGGTACCCAAAACAGTGGATTTCTGAATGAAACCGGTAATTTTGGGGGTGGTGGGCACCTGTGGGCACCGGTGGGCCATTTTTTTCGGATTTTCAGGCGCCGACTTTTGTGTAGGCGACAGCGAACGGACATTCATAAGCACTTAGAGCCGGGCCCAATTTGCTCCCGCTTATCGGACAAGGCGATGGAAATTAGTCGTCGAGAGCGGTCAACATTCTCACCTTTGTGTGTGCTCAAGCGGACGTTAGAGCGCCTCTAAGCCGAAGAACGTTTAAACAGGCATTTCCGCTAAATGAGCGCGCTCATTTATCTCTTGAGCGCGTTCACTGAACAGGTAATGTATGCGTCGGTTAAAAATACAAAATTGCCATAATGAGAACAATTTACTGCTAATCGTTGGGGGATCTTGATCAACAATAACTTAATGAGGCTTTCTGCCTTTTTAATGCAATTTGCATTTATTATTCGAAACTGTTAGAACCTGAGCGGATCCCGGCATTCACAGGCGCTACATTCGCATTATTGTTCATGGAAAGCAGACGGCGACCGTCCGCACCAACCAATCACGCCCGCAAAACCTGATAATCTTACCCCAATCTGGCTACACTGTACTGTACTGATGACGCAAAGAAATCCAGCTGCAACCAGTGCCGTGCCCGAAGGACTCGGCACAACATCGCAAAAAACGCTTTTCCCCTTTCACTTTGTAAGGCAGAGAGTTTTATGTCGAAGCTGTGGGGATCCCTTTAGGCCAAATAAGTACATTTTATGACGTTTGAGCGCAATAATCGCAAACGAGATTGTCTAGGTCTTCAATGTTGCCTAGCTTAGTGCATCATGCACAGGAGATTCAATTTGCTTGATTTTTTATATTAACTCATTGCTGCTAGTATGAATACATTTCTCTACTTTGCAATATTTTTATTTAATTCAGTAAATTTCAAGTAAAACCAGTACCTACTTTCGTTTACATTAAATGAAAATACTGAAATACACAAAACCATTTTCAAACTAGCAGCAAGCGGCGAAAATAAAGACCACAAACGCAAAATTACTACCCACTCCTGAGTGACGTCGCCCCATATTGATTGTATCAGTCAGCATGCACTCTTTGCATCAACGACTGTAGGGGATCACGGACTGTCATTTGAATGACAGTTCGTTTCAAGGTCGCTGTCGCCATGACAGTTGACGTTTGGGACAAACCTGATGTCGGCAAATTATCCTCATTTTACAAAAACATGTGAACAATCAGGTGGGCAACGATGTGTTTCAAAAGGCCGAGGGCTATTATCGCGTCCGTTTTCGATGGTTATCGTGTTGTGCGGCGGGTTCTCAGCACGTAACTAAATAACTGAATAACTGTAGCGTTACGGCACCGCACTGACTTGCAGCGGCGTACCCGTTTTAGTTGCCGCAGCCAGTGGTGTGCGCGCTGTGGGTTCGCACATATTTCTAATTAGCGAGTCGCACCGCGATTTTAACTGTTTTAACCGCCAACAACAACAACAACAGCAGCAGCAGGAAAACAGTCCGACTTTTCCGCATTGTTTATTGCATTATTAAGTAATCATAGTTTTAATAGAACATTACCTTAATGGGCGCACGAATCTCTGATGTAACACAATGGGCATAATTAAATGGAATTAATTCGTTGGCTCGTTATTGCGGAAAGGAATTGAACGTGGGTCCGCACTGGTTGGGAACCAAGCTAAATCGTAATCAGATCCAGGGTATTTGGGGCTGAGGGGGGCAGGCTGAAAGGCACTGTGAAGGAAACAGATGGTGTCACTGGAACAATTACGTGAAAATTAAGCCCTCGTTGGGCGACAAGCTTGGCTGGACACCGCGCAATTTGCTCAATTAGACAGTGGCGCACACACGCGCTCATTCACTCCGCTCCTTTTCCCCAAAACATCCCCATGGGGTTGCCGGCAACGACCGTCCAACACTTAGGTAATAAAGAAGGCGTCCAACAGTCAACTTTTTGTCGTCATTTTTCCGAAACTGTTGAACCAACCGCGGCAGTCCTAAGGACTTCGGAAATTCTTAACCTTTAAAAAGTTAGAAGCCAAAAAGCAAATTTTTCGAGTACAGCCAAAGTTTACAAGCTTCTATCTCTATCTCGTATATCGCCCTTCAGACGTTCTCGGTAGAGTGTCTCAACGACTTTCTTTTCGCAAATAGGTTTCTTCCTTAAATTTCAGAAGTCAAAAAGTCAGTTTTTCTGGTACGGTCGAAGTTTACAAGCCCCATCCCATCCCGTGAACGGTTGCAGATGTTCAAATAATCCTTCAGAGGTTTTCGATATACTGTCTTAAAAAAGTGTCTTCCTGCAAACAAGTTTTTTCCGAAATTCCTAACGTTTAAAATGATAGAAGCCAAAAAGTAAATTTTTAAAATAGGTACCTACCGCCAAACTTCACAAGCTTCCATCTCGTAAACGGTTCAAAATATCCACATAATGTGTTGAACGTTTTTGATGAAGCGTCTTGGAAACTTTCGAAATTAAAAACTACACAAACTCCTAACCTCCAAAGGGATAAGCGCAAAATTAAAAATTCCTTTCTTTCCGCCTTTCCATTAAAAGCTTCATGGGCATAATATTTCCCTTAAAATACTTAGGTTGAGTGACGTTGCCCGATTTTCCAAATTGGCCCCAAAAAATCAAAGGGCTAATCCCAGCGCGACAAAATGTTACCAATTTTCATCCGGTCAGCTTAATTTAACTGGTTCGTGGTTAGTTTCCCAAGCGAGAGTATGACATTGTTTTTTTCAGGAAAATGTGGGAATGTGGGCAACGTGGATAAGGTGTACGACACTGGCTTAAGGGTAAAAAACTCCGTTTTACAGCCAGTATAATTTTTAATGCCTTCAAACTGCACAAAAACGCATTTGAAATACTTTGGTGAAAAATTTAGACTTAAATTAATTTCCTTTTCCTCATCGAACAATTGCATTCTTGTCAATAAGTGTCGAACCCTAAGTTTTCTCAACTGGATTTCTGGAAAATTCCTGGAAAATGGGCTTTGAGAACAGAAAATCCAGGGCAGTGACGTGCAGAAACTTTTAAAGAGAAGTTTAGATGATCCAAATCTGGTCAGTTAACTGGCCAGAGTTCGATATGGATGCGAGTGCGGAAAAACCTGATTTGCGCCAATTAAATGGCAACAAAAATGCGGAAATCGTGCACTGTTGGGTAACGCGAAATGATTGTTATTTTGTGCGGATTATGATTTTCTAGCATTTTTCCGCATTTAATAAGGCGGCCACTAATTAACGGCCCATCAATTGGCTGAAACAATGGCCGTTATGGTTGCGCAATCTCTCCTTCAGATAGACACACATCGGGTATCAATTATTATCATCTCGCCGCCGTTGATTTCCCCGATTTGTCTGTTGTTCTTCCACTGCTGCGGCTGCTAATGGATGGAGGCGAAAGAGCGCGCGCTGTCGCCGCAGAGTGGCGCTGAGCGAAAACAACTTATCCATTACCATTATGGTAATTTAATGGTCATTAGACCCGAACAAAATAGCTAAAAAGCAAATTAATATACCTAAATGGGTGAATCAAAGTGAGTCCTTGGCTTTTTCATTTCATGTGGCTTGATGGCTGTTATTAGCATTCGCGTCTTGTCATTCGAATTCGGTTTTTAATCCGCCACTCGTATTAGTGCCAATTATTTACTCGTTAGTCGCTCTTAATGGCATTCGACTCTAAACTGGATTTACTAACGCAAATCGCTTGCATTTCATTCAATTTGTTGTCGATGTCGTGTTTGATGGCGATAGATGGCACGCTTTGAGTCATCTCACCTGCAAGTGATGGCAAACACCCCACTGGATATTCAGCAATAGCGCCTAAAGGAACACAGTGCATCACGGTCCGAACCGCTCCAATCTTAGAAATTTCCCTAAATTCATAAAAAAATTGAACCGCTTTCGCAACTTGCCCCAAATTCACATCGAGAGTTCAGGGAAGCTTCTTCTATGAGGCCCAAAAGAGTGGACGCAGTGCAGAACAAGAAAAATCGCACAAATATTAAGAAACTTAAGGGTTACATGAGTGAATTTTTTCGGATGACCAGTACAAGGTATCTTCGAAACTATAGCAGTTAGGAAACAGGTTAAATGGACAAAGAATCGTAGTTTTGAAGGCTCGTTGCAACATTCAATTTTTGACATTCAAGTTTAAATTCAACTTAAAAATCTAAGTTAGTTTTATTGTCAAAATGAATTATTCCAATCAAGAAAAGCGCGACAAGATTGAAACCTACATTAGATGTGATAAAAATACTAGACGAGCCCCTGATTTTTGAGAGGGATTTTGATCGTCGTCAACCGTCCTTGAAAACATTCAAACGGTTATACCACAATTTGGGCACTTTTGGAAGTTTTACGCAGCCAAGAAATGAAGATAAAGTAATAAATGAAGCTGTGGAGGTCAAGACATTAGTCTTGGCCATTGTAAGCCAGAATCCACAGATTTCAACCAGAGAGTTCGCAGCAGAATCCGGGACTTCCCAAAGCACAGTGATAAAAGTTAAAAAAAAAACAAGTTCCATCCGTACAAATTATCAGTATCCCAAACTTTATATCCAGGGGATGAGGAGCTGCGTGTGAATTTTTTTACATGGTTCCGAAACAAATCCCAACAAGATCACATTCCCTCATAAAATATTGTGGACCAATGAAACTCGATTTACAAATTGTGGCATGTTTTAACGACACAATGAACATTGTGTCTTTGGATTCAAACAAATCCCCACAACGTTGAGCAAAGGAGACCACAAATTAAATTTGGGTTTAACGTTTGGAGCGGAATGGTAGGTTCAAAAATTCTTGGACCATTTATTTTTGAAGGCACCTTAAATGGGAGTCGGTATCTTCAATTCCTTCGGAATAACCTGGMTTTTATCTTTGGCGACTAAGATTTAGARACATGGCGTAATGTGCAATMGTTTCAACATGATGGCGSTCCTCCGCATAATTTTTCCCTTCCTAATAATATTTCCTGGGACTTGGATTGGACGAAATGGCCCTATTTTATGGCCACCTCGATCACCGGATCTTTCGCATTTGGATTTCTTTTTGTGGTGAGCCGTAAAAAACACAGTTTCCAAAAACAAATATTCCAATTTAAATGCACTTAAAGAAGCTGTTCGATCAACTAAATTGAAAAAGTAGAAATTCTTTGGAAACACTTGATTTTCGAAAAAGACCCAACGATGTGATAAATCACACAAATCGTAATCAAATGCTCTATTCGGTAAAGCAATAATCAAGTATGGTTGCTATTTAAAAAAAAACTCTAATTTGTGTCATATGCCAAAAATGACAGTTATTTTGGAGAAATGTCTTATGCCATTTTGTTTGGAATTCAATTTCCGACAAGTTTTCTATTTAATGTTTTCCTGTCAAATTAATATCAATGGAACTAGGAGTAATCTAAAAAATTACCATAGATAAATAAGTTTTTCCCAAAAATCTCTTGACAGCTGCCAAATTATTAATATATATATATTAAAAATTATAATTCTTTGTCCATTTGACCTTCGTAACTGCGCTAATTCCAAAGATCCTTGAATTAGTCATAGAAAAAAATTCACCCTGTATATCGGTCCTTCGTTCCAAACTAGCTGTTTGTTGGCGATTTTACCGCAGTGAGAGCATGACTTTTTCTTTGTTTTTTTGACAAAATCTTGAAACTGGGCAACATTGCACAGTGCACCAACAACAATTTTGACACGCGACTATTATCTAAGGGTGGCTGCGCTCTTTTGTGTTTGACTCTGCAAACGAGGAAAATCCGATCTTCTCTTAGGCAACCATATGGGGAACGCATTACGCAACCCATTATCATTGTTATTATTCGTATTATGCGCGAAAACATAATACGCGATTGGGCACGCTCCAATTGGAGGCATTTTGTTACTTTAAACACGCAGCCGAGTATCGATTCTGGTCCACTTTCACTCGGGGTGGCGGCTCGATTTCAGGTGATCCAAGCAATAAACATCATAATAATCATGTTAATAACAACAAGAACATAAATCACACATGTGCATCGGGGGGGGCCCGAATCTTACGTAAAAGTAGCGCATAGAATGGGCATCCGAGTGGCTCTGGCCAACTAGTGCACGGCCACTTAAATGGGCCCCAATTTCTGTGAATGAATCGGCCGTTTTCGAACCGGCATGGGAACCTGTAATTTGGCGCCGAATCGGTCCCAATGGTACTTCCGGGGTGTCGCCCCATTATTCGACCCTAAATGACCGCATTCAATTAGCAACAGCGAAATAAAAAATGATCAATCGCATCAGCTGCCGATTTGGATTTTGGATACATGAAAGTTGTAGGCGAGATAGAACACAAAAACGCCATCTGTTTGCCGAAATCAACCGCAACAAGAAAGGCTAACAGATGAATTTCATTACGGCCAGTGCTACTGTGTAGGCCTGGGTAACACTGGGTTGAGTTGCGCTTTTGAGTTGTTGCCGCTCTCTCAGAGCTCAACTCATGGCTGGTGGCGGAATTATAGCATCTAGCAAAAAAAGCCATTAACATATTGCTTTTGAGCATACGATTGCTTGAAACTATTTGGTCCAAAACGGGAAAATCCGGAGATTTTGAAGAAACTCAAAAACATTTTAGAGCGGTGCGGATGACGCGATTTCCAAATATTGATTATATGGTTTTGCTTGCCCAAAAATAGTAATCAACATTTTCCCAGCAACGGAACTGAGTTACTGCGCCAGTGCGTTGGG